AATGTGCAGGGCGCTGGTCACGGCCGCTGCAACTGCAGCCCCCTCTACCTTGCAAGGTCGCTGGCCGATAGCTTGTTTGTGTCGAGTCATGGCTATCAGCGAAGCCAGTTTCTGGGGTATCACGCAACCTGATGCGACGACAGAGCGTTCGGTGACGCCATATATCTCTGAGATAGCTTCTTAGACAATAAGCCAATTGAATTTGGAGGAAAGACTTATTCCATTGGCCTCAGGCCAGGTATAAGGAGAGACCAAGGTAATAGCAAACTAGTTTTGCACTGGAAAGTCTGACCTGATTTGTGGGCATTTTTTAAAAGTTCATCACCACAAAGATGTCAACGGGCATCTTATTTCGGCTGTAATGTAGATCTACAACTTTATTTCCAATACAAAATTTTACAATATCGTATGTTGAAACGCTGTGATCATCTATTGGTCAAAGCAGCGCCTTTTTGCTTAGATCAGGTAATCAGGCTACAAGCGGTTGCATGACGAGGTCTGAGGGCACTCCGGACACTGATCTGAGATCTGGTTTTGTGAAACCTACTTTACCTGAACAACATGGCCTAGGGATATCAAAGTTGAAATCATGTGAGCTCACATGCAGACCTACCTACTCTGTGCATTACCTATCTCTAGCCTTCTCAGTTTTTGAAATATTTGGGTAAGCAAATTGAGCTCTACCCTCGTGCATCGCATTCAGCCGGTCACTCATGCACGTGTTAATGGACTCTGAAAAATTGGATGGACCGAGCTAGAATGGTTCAAAAATTATTTAGGAAACTTGGGGTTCAGCCTTTCACCCTCCCAACTCTTACCTGACCCAAGCGAGGGCGGGTTTATCCGTCTTTTCGAGTGTTCAGAATAAACGCAAAACCTGAGTAGCCAAGACAGACGCCAAAGACCTCTTTGGCGGCGGTACAATTTGACATTTTACTTCCTTGGAATGCATCACTTCACTGCAGACAGAACGCCTCAAAAGTAGGGTAACCATTACCATGCGTTCCAGGACAGATCGAAGGGTGCCTTACGCTCCATCTCTCGGATTTTAACGTAACTTGGTCATGCAGGTTCCCAATAGGAGACAACAGTGTCTGTGACATTATCAAGTATCTCACCTCAAACTTGTCTGAATATTAGCCTCCTATAGTTCATAGCGGCGTAGTGTGTGTTTTTGGTGGTGAAATAATCCACTGTGATCAACGAAAACTACGCTCATTCAATAACCACATTTGCATACGTACCTCTTTTAATGATAGCATACCAATGCTGTTTAAACGTTATACATTTCCCTACTTCCGGTTCATCTCCGTTTTTCCCGTCGTAGATGACTTTGCTGTCCAAATAAGACTTAATGCAACGGGACACGACTGTCTGGGGCTATAAATCCGACATGCTTGAACAGAACGAAACCAGCATACTCTGACCCGGCAAAGAATGGACTGCCGCACTGACAAAGGTGCGGGTTATTGTGTGCGGGCGCCCCTCGTACACACGTTCAAAAAACACGGATCTGGCAGTTTTGGGGCATTTTACAGGTTTTTTGTCAGATCTCAGCAGACCATGCACATAACGCCATGAAGCCAAGTGCATGATGTAGGCGCATGCGCCGTCTGCAAGCCACTCATGCCGCCAATCACTGCCCGATCCGTAGTGGCGTCAGCAATCGATCGTGAAGGGACCAATGTCGCGTTTGTCGAAGCCGATCTCGAAAGCATCACACTGTTGTCTAAACGGAGAGAGGTAGACGTGAAATGGTAATGGCCCGAAACGGGACCCGCCACCAATTTTTGAAATTTCGTCGGAAAAATCCCAGCCTGTTCACCGGCCTGCCGCTGGCCATTACTTGGCTATAGAGACACGTGCTTCTGCTGAAGATCCTCCGCGCAGCAGATGTATTCCACGGGAGCGTGACTTTGCATTGAGCAGCCGAGGACCGAAACAACACGACGCAGAAATAATACGGCTGATACAACAGCATGCAGCCGTACTGCCACACAGATGCGCACAGCACACCTGAACACAAATCGCCCAGGTGTGCAGAAGGCCACGCGCAGTAGACGAAATGGAGAAACTTTCCAATAGTCATACGTATTGCCTGATATTTCAAAACGAGTGTCCCACCTTTGAAGCAAAGTTCGAAAACATGATCTGGTGAGCTATCAGGAACTGCAATCAATATGAATAGCACTGGGGAGCGAAACTGCATTTCTAAAGGGATAGTACGTGCAAACAATTCAATTTCTTTTCGAATCCAAATTGGACGGTTAGCACTTTAGATCAGCAATATGCTCCTTCCTTTTTTAGTATTTTCATATGGTTTGTCATGCGTGCATATTTCTGACGCCCTGGACGATTCAAACGCACGCAAGACAGTGTTCACCATTGCGAAATTCATGATCATTTAGGATTATTGCCGGATTTTGCCCACGGTATGTAAACGCGAATGCAGACTTTCAAAGTGTTAAAACAACCCTGTTCAACATACGGTGGTTTGCTTTTATAGTTTGGTCTAAAAAGTAATTACAGGCCTGTATAGTCATGGACATTTCTGAGGCTGCTGACATCTCCGTAACGGTAATGCATGAAGCCATTGATCTCACCTTTCAGCCATCGGCCCTAGTTTTCCAGCCGTGCTGTCTGCTCCAGCCAGCTGTGCTTGCCGTCCAGCCGTGATCACCTCACCGCATCGTTCAAATGCATATGCGAGTTCACATTCTCAGGCTATTTAGTGTCGTGTGCAGACGTCGCAATCACGTGACTTCACCGCCGGTCGGAGGAGGGTCGTATTGGCAGAGACGATGCCAATATCCTGATCGTCTGCCCCGCCATGGGGTGTCAAAATCAGCTCATTGATAAAGCAGACGTCATGTCGATAAAGCAGACGTCAGAAAGTCTCAGCGGTTGAGTGACATGAACCTGGCGTCCTCGCTGATGCGCTTCCAATGCATGTTAATTGTTGTCCAAATCGCAGTTTAACGCCCTCTAGAGTCCAAAATAAGCCGTACTTAGTCATAAGTGTTTCAACCGCAGCCCCTGTACGTTTTGAACGCTTTAAGATATCAGTGCGTGCGTTGAGAAAGAACCCCGAGCGTATGCTTCACCTGTGCGATTTTCAGATCGTAATAAGTGTGGCGTAGCCTTCAGAGCACCACGAAGTGGCACTGAAATGTGTTGGAGGAACTTGAAAAGTAAAGGTAGAAGCTCTGTTTCGTGTTGCTGTAGCTGTTAATTTGACCAGAGGACATCCTTATCATTGTTAAAAAGTACGCCAAGTCTAATCTTTTGAATGGCTCATATTGAAAGACTTTCGGAATCATTATTTCGCGACGGTCCTTCTCTCGCGCACGGCACCAGCTGTCTGGTGTTACCTGTGGCGGCTACCGTCGTTCGGTTTTACGAAAACTGCAACCCTGGCCATCGCTGTTCTTGTGCCTGAGATTGCGAACGTGCAAGGTCTAAAACTGTTTATGTTATTAGTATCACTAGTCTATTCTTCAGAATAATGAACGTTTTCAGGTGAGCATGAGCTGGCCTTTTTCATTTCAGACCTCATTTCGATCCACTCCATTCAGCACTGCTGAGACCCTGAGACACCTTACGTTTTCCGGGCAAGGGGCCCGTGGGAAGAACACTAAGAGGCACATAAGCATTACCGGTCCAGGGCTGAAGGGCCAGCCCGTCCCAGGGTGGGATGCATTCCGGCTGCTATTCTGGCGACACGGGGTCCCCTGGTGGATCCAGAGGCTCTTAGAGAGATACGCCATATCATCTTGAACTTCATGAACATATGCTGAAGGGGACTGTAAGCAGTGATGCGGATGAACCAGGGCTATATGAAAAGACAGAGTGGGGCCTCTGAGACTAGAGGAACCTAGGGTTTGCTCCTAAGTAGCTCCATTCACCGTACATGATGAGCTAAAATGCTGCCACCTACGATATGAAGCAATTTTGGCCAGTGCGGTTTAAGGAGGACGGCAGGTAAACCAAGTAAATCGGCATGCATGTTGAAGGTAGCACGAAAATAAGCTAAACACAAATTAAATCTGAAAAATGGGTAGGGAATTAACGTTGCATCCCCCCAACACCCACCTTGAAAAGTATGTGGAAGGGGGAGGGGGGGGGGGGGGGGGCACGGCTCCCTAGTCCCAATGGGTGGCTGTGGAGACATATGTCTTCCCCACTTTTACACACACGGATTTTGGTCCTTTCCGATGCTGCCCGTAGAATGCCCGTTTTTTCCACGTTCATCAATTAAAAACGTCATTTTCTTGTCAGACTGTCTCATTTAAACTACATTTTGACCCCTCCAAACCTGATTTGTTCGCTCAATCTCGAAGGTGTAATTACATTGTTGGGTTTTCCGGTTGTGCCACTAATCATCGATCCCGAGTAGACTATCATGCTCGTCGGAACCTACAGATTAGGAGGGCACGTGCATAAACTGCCTGTAGTCCTGGGCTCAACGTCCTCTCGGACTCGGTTTTTTTCCGTTTTAATTGATCATTTGCAGCGTTTTCATTGCCATAGGAGCTCGCCACTAAATAAATCCCAAAATGAATCGTCGTAAACCGTATTTCAACTAAATACGGTTTGCTATTTTCCCCACTACCCAGGGCCAACATTTGTGGTCATTGGTTTGTCTCTCCCGATCGATTCCTTATTTTCGTGTTTTTCATAAATGGGTCTCAGATACTATCGCGCTCGCGCCCGGTGGGCGACGTCCCGAGGTAACTCAACACCTGGGTCGAGAACCTTCCAAAATCCGAGTGCACATTCTGCTCATTCTTCCTTCTCTTTATCTTACACAAATACGGCGCCACAGTTTCATTTACTGAAGAGGAAACAAAAATGTGCTAGAAATGTATAAGTAAAACTTGAACTTCTGTAGTGGTTTTCTCAATAACACCCTGGCATATGACGTCATTAAATAAAATTTTGGTCCCACATGCCACCCTCTTAACAGGAGCCACCACTATTGTCTCGTGCGGACAAGCGGCACCTCGTGCGTTATCGTAAGGGCGTAGCACGTTTTGCCGGTCTGCGTTGCGTGGACGCTGGCGGTTTGCGCTCTCTTGGGTAAAGCATTTGTGATATAACTTAGGTTCGATCCTAGTAAGTCATGGCTGCGATCACAACACTGAATCCGAAAGCTGAAGTTGCCCGCGCGGCCCAGGCTCTTGCCATAAATATTTCGGCAGCGAAAGGCATTCAAGATGTTCTCAAGACCAACTTGGGACCTAAAGGCACCATGAAGATGTAAGTTGTTTCTTTTGAAACCCAAGCAAGTTCTAAGAGACCCGATTAGTGGTCCACATATTAAGTTTGGTTGTGAAATGGTCAACTGCTGGGGCGATCTGGGATTTCCATTTGCATGATTTTCTGCCAGGATTGTGATGGTATGCCCCAAGGTGATTTTTATTTCACTGTGTGTGCAATTTTACCATGGCACATATGGTTGTGAGCTGAAATAGATGGTAGAGGGAATCTTCTTGTACCACAAATGCTGTGGCTTTAGTGAAGACCCACTGCCTTTCAGAATCTAGCTATTTGTTTAAAATGGCTATATGATACTTTGCTATATAATGCTTCTTTGTACATGATGCACCAATCAGTATCAGAAAACAGTGGAATTACATCATCTTACCCTTGAGAATGACATAAATATGAAGTAATGCCAGCTAAAGCTTTAAACTATGGCTCTGGTTTATTATTAATAAGCAAGGTAGTCGATCAAGGGCAGAGCCATCATGGCATCAGCAAGAAAAGGGTAGCAGTAGGAGTGCAGTTAAAAGTGGAAGTAGCAGCATGGATAGAGGTAGGGAAAGTTAGGTGACATCCAGGGACATGCTCGATGTCCAGGGACCAGCCTGAAAACCAATGAACAGCAAATCCAGAGACATTGTCAGCATTAGTAGGATAGTGGCATCATTTGCTATATTGATGTGCAAGAAAACCAATCCCATGTTGTCATTTTGTGCTGTGTGTGGTGTGGCTGTGGTGGTTTGTTGCTAATATCATTCTGCTGTCGCCATGGAATAGTTTGTGGAAGTAAGGCATGGTGTGCTGAGGCAGGAGCATGTGGGTGGTAAAAAACATTTCAGTAATTCTTATTGCAAATTTTGTCCCTAGGTTCTTGCTCCTAAACAACCATTTCATTTGGGCATTTTGTATTTGTGGACTTAGACCTCCCCAGCATTAAGTTTCCTGCTGTTGACCGGAACTCCATAATGCAGAATTTGGCCCTCATGGGATGCTAGCTCTTTAAAGTGGTAGAAACTCAGCATTTTCCTAAATGGAATTGTGAATGGAATGTCCTTAAAATTCAAAGGAAATAAAAGTAAGTGTCAAAGCTTGCTTCTCAAAATGTTGTCTTCATTCATGCGATTTGGCCATGTGATGTGGCCCCTTGAACAGCTGCAGCATGGTGTACAAAAATAGCAACACACTCGGCTCACAGCCTCCTGCATGGGTCACTGGTCAGGGTGTGGATGCCCTGCAAGGCAAGTGTCACACCCTAAATTATTTCATGGGTTGTTTTGCTGGGTTAACATCCACATTGAAACAAGGATTGGCCAATGGGTTCATCATACCCATCCCAAAACAGAAAGGCTTGAAATAAATATAAGTTGCATGCATCAAAACTGATTGGTTTTGCATGCTCATATTCATAAAATTAGTGGAAAGGCTGTTGTGCAGCAATTCTGTTGTTTCCTCAGGTGAGTAAATTGCAGGCATTCATTGTCATTTGGCCATAGTTCAACAAAATAACCAAAAAGATTATGATAGATTAATTACAGAATTGTAGTTTTTTTTTACAAAAAAAACAGACTTACCAGTGTTGATTGCAATCCTTAGTAACCTTTTTGTGATACAACCAAGTGGAAGATAACTTGTCAAGCTGTAATTAAAGCTCTGTATGATGAAGTCACTTATTCAAAGATGCGGTAAGCTGCAGCAGCTTGAATGACAGCAAGTTGTACAGTGGTAGTGACTGGTGGGTTTGTTGCAGGCTTGTTTCTGGTGCAGGTGACATCAAAATCACCAAAGATGGCAATGTGCTTCTGCATGAGATGGTAAGTCATGTTCTTCCCAGATTGGGTTGTTTATGCCAGAGCCCATAAGTGGTGCATATGTGTGTGTATATATATATATATATATATATATATATATATATATATATATGTATGTATGTATGTGTGTATGTATGTATGTATGTATATTGATGATACCCATGCTGTGTTTGCATAACCTGGTATGATTTGAAAGCAATGTATGCCATATTCTGGGCACTGTACCACCTTGCTTCACTGAGGTGGCACTGCCAGCATGTGCCAAGCTGTCTGTGGCGCTGTGTGCGCCCTCCCCTCCCCTCTCCACTCACGCCGCCTGACCGCTCATGCTCTCTGGCATCGGCAGCAAATCCAGCACCCGACGGCGTCGCTGATAGCGCGCGCCTCGACGGCGCAGGACGACATCACCGGCGACGGCACCACCTCCACAGTGCTGCTGATCGGCGAGCTGCTCAAGCAGGCCGACCTCTACGTGTCCGAGGTGGGGCTGGCCTCTGCGTGGCCTCGACGTGGCGCCGGCGGTTCGGTGTGGCAAAGCCTCGCGCGCCGCCGTTGTGTTGACCTGGCGGTGCTGTACTATTGACGTGTGATGCCAGGGATTTCTCACCATATGGGTCAGCTGCTGGATGTGTTCATCAGCGTGACAGAAGGCTCAGTGTTTTTGGCAGTGACTCGGTCTGAGCAAATGTTCTTCAGTGTATTATTTGGATGGAGAAGTTCCAGGATGGATTGAGAAGCTCCTTCCTGTTGGGCAGTTTATTATGGCAGAGTCTCCCGAAATGTACTGACGTCATGTGCAGCAGCAGGAGGGTGTGGGTCTTGACACGATATGCCGCGACAGGGTCTCCACCCGCGAGTGGTGACGGAGGGCTTCGAGCTGGCCAAGAAGAAGACGCTGGAGGTGCTGAACGAGGTGAAGCTGACGCAGCCGGCTTCGCGCGAGGTGCTCATCAGCGTGGCGCGCAGCAGCCTCATGACCAAGATCCACCACGAGTCGGCCGCCCATCTCACTGAGGTAGTCGCCGAGACACAGACAGTGCCGTCGGCACGCGCAGGATGCTCTGCACACATCGCAGGGGCAGCCGACACGAGCGCGTGTCGTCGGCGCGTCTCACGGAGGCGCTTCCGGAGCATGCCCGGTCTGAACGCAGTCCACTGGGGTGCCCAGCACAGGCCCGGTCGGGCCAACGCAGCCCGCAGTGACGTGCTGTGCGGTAGCCTCTGCTGGCGGCGCGGCCATAACTCGCATAGGTGCCCCCCCCCCCCCCCCCCCCCGTGGCATGGTAGCGCCAGCACAGTTGGCTGGGGGAGCGGCGCACGCCCCGCCCTGACAGAGGAGTGCTGGGCAGAGTGGCGAGGACGGGTCCGGAGCGGTCATCACGTGACATCTCATTGGCAGCACACGGTCCCCAGTGTGCGCTGCCGGTGCGTTGGATTCATAACGGACGTCATTAGCCTAACGACATCACACTGTATATGTACACGTGTATATGTCGGGCCGTGGTGTCGGCTAGCGCTCCGCCGGTGGTTAAGTTCCGCCTCAGCGCACGTGACGGGTGGTACCGCTAATGGCCCTGACAGTCAGCGGCGCCGCGAAATGATCGCCCGGGGATGTGGCATCACTCGGCGACCATTTCGGCGATGTCCTGGCGTGTAGTGTGGCGCGTGCTGACACCCGCCGGCGCGCCGGCAGATCTGCGTGGACGCCGTGCTGAGCATCAGGCCCAGCTCGGGTCCGGTGGACCTGCACATGGTGGAGCTGATGGAGATGCAGCACCGCTCAGGTTAGTTCCCCTCGCCGTGCCGAGGTCAGCCCCCTTCCCGTGCCGAGGTCAGCCCCCTCCCCGTGCCGAGGTCAGCCCCCCTCCCCGTGCTGAGGTCAGCCCCCCTCCCCCCGTGCCGAGGTCAGCCCCCCTCCCCCGTACTGAGGTCAGCCCCCCTCCCCCCGTGCCGAGGTCAGCCCCCCTCCCCACCGCCGTGTCGAGGTCAGCCCCCCGCCGAGGTCGGCCCCCCTCCCCGTGCTGAGGTCAGCCCCGTGCCGAAGTGAGCCCCCCCCCCCGTGCGCAGGACGTTCTCAATTTATGGCAACGTTCTCAGAGAGCGATGGCATCGTGATGGACCGCAACAGAGCGTTCTCACAGTGTATCGTAACGTTCTCAGAGAGCGACAGTGCGCTGGTGCGTGGTATCGTGATGGACCATGGCGCGCGCCACCCGGACATGCCGAAGCGCGTGCAGAACGCATACATCCTCACCTGCAACGTCAGCATGGAGTATGAGAAGACGTGAGTGATCCGGGCGTGCGCCGACCGGGTTGGCGGGGGGGGGGGGGGGGGGGGTCGGTGTGGTCTGTTTGCCGTTATCTTCCGGTCGGGATCTGTGGCCATGCGGGCATTATAAGTGGCCTGAAGTCTGCGGAGCAGTATATGTCAACTATGGTATGGGGTGAGGAGAGAACGCCCGGTATGTGTCTGACGGCTAATCTAGAAACACCAATGTCATTGATAACTTGCACTCGGCTTGCTTCTGGGGGATGGGCGTATCTTGGACGTGATGTGTGAGGCCCAACGGCGTGCGTGACCCAGTGATGCATGTGACCCAGTAACGTGTGTGACCCAGTAACCACGGGCCTCCCATTAGCCCGAGCAGTGTCACGTTGCTGCTGTCCGTTCCCCCGCGCCCTGTGTGCGGGGCTGTCTCCGTGCCGCAGCGCCGGGCGTGACCCGGCGCGCTGGAGCGGCGCCGCGCGGCTCCGTGTAGCAGCACGCTGAGCTGGCCTCCCCCCCCCCCCCCGTCCGCCGACAGCGAGGTCAACTCGGGCTTCTTCTACAAGACGGCCGAGGAGCGCGAGAAGCTGGTGCGGGCCGAACGTGAGTTCATCGACAACCGCGTGCGCAAGGTGATCGCCCTGAAGAAGCAGCTGTGCGACGGCACCGACAAGAACTTCGTCGTCATCAACCAGAAGGGTGAGGCTCTGCGGACGGGGATCCGTCCCTCTTACCCCTCATCTTGCTTCATCCTGCGTCCGCGCAACACGTTGCTTGTCCGTGACAGGCTGCATGCGTCACCCACGAGTAGGCCGAGCGCCCCGCGGGAAGGGCAACCCTGACCGGGTACCCAGCGCGCATGCGCGGGTTAAAACTCGGCGGTTGGCCCCCCAGGCGCATGCAAGCCTGCCCCACCATTTACCATTTCCGTTCATTTCATAGCCCTGAAATGATCATTTCTGGTCGAAAGGCATCGAATCCAAAAACAAACAAACAAAAAAACCAACAAGTGCTGGGGACGGGCATGGTGGTTGTCTGGTGGGGTGGAGGGGAGAGAGAGAGAGAGAGAGAGAGAGAGAGAGAGAGAGGAGAGAGAGAGAGAGAGAGAGAGAGGAGAGAGAGAGAGGAGAGGAGAGGGGAGGGAGAGGGAGAGGGAGAGGGAGAGGGAGAGGGGAGGGGAGGGAGAGGGAGAGGGAGAGGGAGAGGGAGAGGGAGAGGAGAGGGAGAGGGAGAGGAGAGGGAGAGGGAGAGGAGAGGGAGAGGGAGAGGGAGAGGGGAGAGGGAGGGGAGAGGAGAGGGAGAGGGAGAGGGAGAGGGAGAGGGAGAGGGAGAGGGAGAGGGAGAGGGAGAGGGGAGAGGGAGAGGGAGAGGGAGAGGGAGAGGGAGTGGACGGTCACCAGGCCCGGAGTGTGTGCTGTCCGTGGTGCACGTGGAAGAGTGTGGTCGTGGGCTGGGCGGAATGGCTCGCTCAGTGCGGATCTGGACATGACGGAGGTGAGCGGATCGTGATGTGCCGCTCGCACCAGCTGCTGCGTGCGTTGATTGTGGCTCATGGTGCGGAAGTCACGAGACCGCCTCCGCCTCCTGCTGTGCTCCTGGTCTGGTCCAGCGTACTGTTGCCACATGTACTGATGTTACCTCCTCCGACTGGTGCCGACGGGATGGCGGCTGCCTGTCCAGTTGTTCTTGTGTGTGGTGACGCTAATTTCCCTGACCTGACGTGACCAGACCTGATGTGATCTGACCTAAGCTGCCAGCTGGTATTGATCCTGCGCCGCTGCTCGCCGGCTCCGATACGACCTGACCTGCCCACGAGAGGCGGTGCTGTCTCACCGGGCCCGCGGAGCCTGACCTGACCTGACCTGAGCTGACCTGAGCTGACCGGACCCGGCTGTCGCCAGGCATCGACCCCGTGTCGCTGGACATGCTGGCCCGCGAGGGTATCGTGGCGCTACGCCGCGCCAAGCGCCGCAACATGGAGCGGCTGGCGCTGGCGTGCGGCGGTGCCGCCATGAACTCCCTGGACGACCTGACCGAGGACTGCCTCGGATACGCCGGGCTCGTGTACGAGCACGTGCTGGTCAGTCAGAGGCCGGCCGGCGGCCGCGCGTCGCCCCGCTGGGGGGTCCGGTGGTGGTGGAGCGAGGTCGGTGTGCGTGCTTGGCATGGTCCTGTCCCCACGCTGCGGGCGCGGGGTGATGGCCGAGTGGCTAACGTGGCGGGATCTCTCGTCCCGTGTTCGGTTCTCGGTCGACGCCCTAGTCTTCTGGTGATAATGTGGCTCCCGTAGTCGGGGGCGCTCAGTAAGCTGACGTTGGTAAAATGCGTGGCGTTCCTTCGATAAAAGATGAAAGGAATTTGAAACAGCGTCGGCAAGTCCTTCAATAGGGAATAACTGCGGAGGCTGCATCAGTCGCGGTCACTTCTGTGGCTGTCCACATCCCTGGACCGGCGTGCCTCTGCGTGTACTCGTCGCTGACCCGTGGCTTGATGGTGTGTGAAACAGGGCGAGCAGAAGTTCACGTTCGTGGAGGAGTGCCGCAACCCGCAGTCGGTCACCATCCTGATCAAGGCGCCTAACAAGTACACCCTGGACCAGTTCAAGGTAGGCTGGACTTGGGGATTGACCTGCATCTTATATGATCGGTACAGGTCAAGTTATTATGCTGCACCAAGCATAATAGCTTGTGTTGCCGCTTGTGTTTGTCGTTGTACGAGGGGCGAGACAGGTCGCCTAGAATACCGCCCTGTGGTGGTTTGCTGCGAGTTATAGAGGCCGTGGGTTGTTTTCTTAGAGACGGCCTTGGGTTCCTGTCATAGTATAAGCTTATGTCGATTTTGATACTTTCTCAATGAAGTGTGCATATCAGCTCTTGAGTTGAGGCTGCTTTTGGACATAACTTTATGGCAACTTGTTGCCTTAATATGCTGCATTGAACGCCGTCCAGCTCCAAAGTCGCCGAATGACTATGACTCCCCGAGCCTCCTCAGCCGCTGCCGCTTGGTGCCGCCTGTGCCCCATCCTCCTCCGCATCCGACGCCTGCCCCCCCCCCCCCGGCCCACGACCCCGCCCTCCGACCCCGCCTGTGACTGACCCCCGCTCCCGACGCCTGCCCCGCCCAGGACGCCATCCGGGACGGGCTGCGCGCCATCAAGAACGCGCTGGACGACGGCGCCGTGGTGCCGGGCGCCGGCGCGTTCGAAGTGGCGGCGCACGCGGCGCTCATGCGCTACCGCCAGGAGGTGCGCGGCCGCGCGCGGCTCGGCGTGCAGGCGTTCGCCGACGCCCTGCTCGTCATCCCCAAGACGCTGGCCGTCAACGCCGGCTACGACGCGCAGGTGAGCGGCGGCAGGTGGCCGCTGCTGGTGCGCTGGTGCGGGGCGGACGGCTTTTGTGAACGTGGTGGGAGGGTCACGTGGGATGCGTTCAGTCCAAAGGCTTGGGTATGCTGAAATCATTTCTGTCTGGTTTAGCGGTTTCTTTGACCCGGAGTAATTTTATTTCGCGGCGCTGATTTGAGTTTGAAAATTTGCTGAACAATGTAAGTATTGCGCCTTTACCGTTTTGGTTTGGGTCACCGCAATGAAATGTTATGGCCTTAAATGCGGCCGGGATGCTTAAACGTGAAAGTTACGCCAGACTTTCATACAGACCATATGAATGGCAAATCCTAACACGGTACGCAGCTTATGAACGAGCCGCTGGCCGAGGCGCTTTGCGTAGCCGGACACTGGACTACATGCTACATGGAAGTGGACCGGGCTTGACATATTCGTTAATTCTTCTGCGTCGTTTATTGTGTCGTGTCTTTGCTAATTTCGTCAACGAAGCTGAGATGCAGCTGTGGGTTGCTCGGGGGGTCCTGTGGTACCCCTTGCTGGGGAACTATCATCTCTTACGGTGAGGGTGGAGCGGTGTTCTTGTTGGGCCAGACACCTGCGGGCCGGTGGGGCGGCCGGTACCCCCCCCCCCTTCCCCTCCCCCGGTGCTCGAGCTGACCGCCAGCCGGCGGCGCGCAGGACACCATCGTGAAGCTGCAGGAGGAGTACGCGTCGGCCGGCGTGCCCGTCGGCCTGGACATCGGCAGCGGCGAGGCGCTGGTGCCGGCCGACGCCGGCATCCTCGACAACTTCTGCGTCAAACACCAGATGATCAACTCCTGGTGGGTGCGGCGGCGGCCGAGGACCGCCCGGGGGAGGTGTGGTGACGGCACGGACCGCCGCGCCGTGCTGGGAGGCGCTTGGCCGGGCCACTGAGATAGGGTCCGTGAATGCTGGTCAGTTCATATAACGTGTTTAGCCATTTCCCGTGAATTTTGCAAGTACTAGGGTCGTCTATGTGTGAGGATGTGGTCGGCCATGTATGGGCAGGAATGTTGCGTTTGCTGTTGCAAATGCCTAAAAGGCTTAATTTTATCAGGGTGGGTTTGCAGATGTTATACCCCTGCAGCAGTAGCCCAGAGCCATTTTTTGTCTGAATATCCAGCAGGTGCCAAATGTTACTGCAGGCCACATACAAATATGGGGAATTGCAGGAGGATCTAGAAGTCAGTATGTGACCATAACTGACTGTACAATGCCTGTGCTGTGACTGCCAATTGAGGCTGGTCCTGTGTCCATAGCACTGTGCATGCTTGTAATTGACAGCGCCTGGCTGTGTTCTGACTGTGTTCTGGAGCTGACTGCTCATGTGTGTTCGCAGTGCGGTGATCGCCGGCAACCTGCTGCTGGTGGACGAGATTATGCGAGCTGGTCTCTCCTCTCTCAAGGGCTGATCGGCCACGCCCGCCCCGGCCTGGCCCGCCGCCGCCGCCGCCGCTGGCGCCGTTGACGCGTACACTGCTGGCCACTCCCGTGTTCCACGCGCTTGCGATTCCTTTAACATGTCATGTGGTTCGTTGATCGCACTTCACAATACAGAGCTCCTAACTGATGTGTGTTTCTGCTGCGAGACGAGAGAACGGTGAGGTGAACGGTGGTAGACCCGCAAGTCGGGAGGCGGACATCAGGTGACGTGCTTTGTTGCAGGGGGGAGGGGTCGTGAACAAATTTAGACATTTTGCGAGCAATGAAGCCAGACGATTAACCTGACGCCAATCGCCATGCGCTAGCAACTGGAAATGTCTAACAGGGACATGAGCCACTTGAGTGCAGTACGACACGGCACGGCCCAGCTCGCTGCACTTTTGCCTGTTGCTCCGCTGCAGTGTCGCCACGAACAATATGGTGACCTCACATTAGCCTCTTCTGGAAGGGGCGCGGTGGTGATTGGTTCCTTTTTTGTAGCTATTCACCGGTAGCAAGGAAAAGTAGGTGGACGAACAGATTAGGATCGGGCGGTTGGTCTCGCCAAATCCTGCGCTCTTGTTGCATATGTTTATCTATGTGACGCGATATGGGGATGTTAGTTTATACGGGACGCCGATCAAGGCCGATGAGAGGCGGCAATGACAGTTTGTGGATGTAGGTTGTGTTACATTGAGAAGCGGGCACCAGTCGCATATCCATTCTGATGAGGTCACCATTGTTTTTTGTGATCTTGTAAAACAGTGCTTACCCTTCATCCAGTTTATCAGAGTGGGTGGTCCAGTGGTACCGCAATAATTTCCTGTCCTGTGTTGGAAACATGCCCCTTTTAGTGACTGATATGGATGCCGGCCGTGATGCACCAACAATCTCCAGTTTACAAGATCACAAAGGTTCCCTGGAAATGTACAAAGAGGAGTTAAAAGAGACAAGACTGCAGGTGAGACATGTTGACATGCTTTTGCTATGCTTGTTTGTTGACAGTGTATTGAGTTTGTTCTGGCCTTGGGGCCTTATCAGTGGGAATTCTTGGTAATTTGGTGTATGTTTGGGTCCCTTAAAGGCATGTCCTGACCCTGTTCAATGGTGGTTGGGTGGGGTATCCACTGATAAGTTGTTTATGGCCATGATTGCAAAACTTGTCATTTTTCCCATGGCAGTATATGGTGTGCTATGCAGTACAAAATAGTGCACATATAACCACATCATTGACATGCAGTACCAACCACTCACCATTTCTTCTCATTCTGGACCAACATTGCCTATAAGGCAAAGTCTATATCCTGTTTTGCATGCTCATTTTTTTGACAATGTGCATCCAGATAAGCACAAGTGCAGATCAATCAGCAGAAGCACTAGAGTCAGCAATGAAAACCATAATGCAGCAGCTGGTGATGGCAGTGCAAGAACGGAAGGCTCAGCTTTTGGCAGAGATCTTGGATGTGAAGAAAATGGCTCTTGCTGAAGCTGACCATTATGGGCAAGTATCCTGAATAACATTAGCTAATTATGCAACATTTCAAAATATGTTTCATAGCAAAACATTTTAGAACAGAAGGTCTTGATTCTAAACTTGTGGCAGTAATATCACCTATTTTATATCTGGGAAAATTTGATCTGCAGTTGTTGTACATCATGTCACTTCATTTAATTACAGAAATCGATGAACCATTTAGATCTTTGTGCAGTGTGTTCATGCAATAAAAAAGTGTGCAAAGGTCAACCCAACTATATCTGGCTGTGGTGCTGACAGATTGGCAGTGGATGAACAGCTGAAGAAGACTGAAGAAGTGCTGAACAGTCTTCAGTCAGCCAATGGCATTGATGGCCAGCCTGAGGCTTTGGATCCAGTTGAGGACATGTATGTTTTTATGGGAAGTCTTAGCTCTATGCTCAGAGTAATGCCATCATGCTGTGACTTTCCATGCCAAATAAATGGACCAATTCGATGGATAGATTTGCCACCACCCATCTGTTCAATGGGGTTGTTCGACTGTGTGTGTGCTCTATACTGTGTGCTGTGTATTGTGCACTATGTACTATGTATTGTGTGTATTGTGTACTGCATCTGTGATGTGTGCTGTGTACTGTGTACACTGCATACTATGTACTGTGTATGCTATGTACTGAATGTACTATGTACTGGGTGGTGTGTACTGTGTATGCTGTGCACTGTGTACTGTGTGAGCTATGTACTATATGTACTATGTACTGAGTACTGTGTACTTTGTGTTCTACATACTGTGTACTTGTGTATTGTATACTGTGTTCTGTATATGGTGTGTACTGTGTACAGTGCATTGTTTGTCATATGCTGTGTGTACTGTGTACTGTGTAATGTGTATGACAGGCCTGGTTTGGCCTGAGCCTGCATTGGCTATTTGCCAGCTGACCTTTCCCTGCCACTTGGGCCAGCCTGCCCTGGGACTGATACCCATTGTTGTGGGATTGTGGGTCCAGCATGTTTGTCCCCAGACCACAGAGGCAGCATGGTGCATGCTGGCAATGGCTTGAATGCTATCTCAGTGAGAACCTCTCAAAAGAGGATGCCTCACATGACTCGGTCGGCTGTACCGCCTGCGGCCCAGACTTCCTCCGAGTGTAGCGAGTTCTCCGGGCCGCCTGCAGATCTCTGCCGCCGCCGTCGGGTCTGCCGCGGCCGGCCCTGCACGTGCCGGTGGCGGCACCGCCGGCGGCGCTGGCCGCCCTGCGGCAGCTGGGCCGCGTCGAGAGCACCGTGACCGTGAACGGCCTGCGCACGGAGCCGAGGCCGGGCGCCGTGCTGGTCACCTGGGCCCAGGTCAGCGCCACGGGCTGGTGTGCTGGTCGGCATATCGTTAGTTGAAGTGTGTGGTGGGGGGGGGGGGGGGAGAGTGGGCTGCGGACGGGACCGAGCGCCGACTCCCGGCCGCCGCTGGTGTGCTCGGCTGAGGAGCACCGCTGACGCTGCGGTGTTCGGCGCTCCGCGGAGCTCCGCGGAGCTCGGTTACCTGCGTGCCGGCGCCAGACGGGGCGGCGCCGAACACTATGGATGCTTGCATACACTGTATGCAACCACTCAGAAATTGTATGTTAAGTGCCTTTTCCCAGACATATTTTGGACACATTGGCGCAAGGAATGAGCAGCGCATTTCGTAGCGCATATGCCTTCGGTCATACCTAGAACGAATTTCTGTGTGGATCCATGATGCGTGCTGCGTGTATGTGTGTAAAAATAACGTTCTCAGGACGAGGACGCGGACCGGGACACAGATGGCAGCACCTACCGACTGCAGTATTGCTACGGAGACGCCAACAAGCTTGCGTCCCCGGTCTTTCATCTGGCTTACGAAGGTACGGTCCGACCGACGCCGGGCCGTCACGGAACGGCCGAATAGTGGGCCGGCTGGGGCAGCTGCCTGTAGGCCAGTTGTTGCACCTGCCTAAAGTCCAGTTGTTGCATCTGGCTGTTGGCCAGTTGTTGCATGAAGCTAGAGGTCAGTTGTCGCATCCAGCTATCTGCCTCTTGTTGCGTCTGCCTATAGTCCAGTTGTTGCGTCTGGCTGTTGGCCAGTTATTGCACCTAGCTAGAGGTCAGTTGTATCCAGCTATCTGTCATTTGTTGCATCAGGCTATAGGCCAGTTGTTGTATATGGCTATAGGCCAGTTGGTGCATCTGGCCATTTGCCAGTTGTTGTATATGGCTAAAGGCCAGTCATTGTATATGGCTGTAGGCCATTTGTTGTATATGGCCATAGGCCAGTTGTTGCATATGGCTGTAGGCCAGTTGGTGCATCTAGGTACACTCCTGATGATGCATCAGGCTTGTCACCAATGTGTTGCTTTACTTATTGATTCGATCCAGAAATGACATGATGGTCATGATGACGAACATTAGCCAGCGAGCGGCGTATTCCACGCAGCAAACGCTAGAGCCGCCATTGGATTCAAACCAGCTGCGGTCACCCTGCGCGCCGACTGACTTCTAAGTCGCCCCCCCCCCCCCTCCCCTCCAGCCTTACATGCGACATCACTGTTGTGTTACCGCCGAACAGCTCCAGCAGAGAACCTGCTTCCCTTTTTGGCCGTCTTGATATGGCTATGGAGTTAAATTGTCCTTATATCGTCCTATTCAGGGTCGGGTTGGGAGCGCAGACTCGGTGTATCTCGGACGTACCACCGACTTGCTTCTGTGTGCGGAGCGTGTGGTGATGCCGACACTCACGCGGCTGGGTATTCCTTGCGGGTATAATCCCGCGTTAGTTTCAAGGCGCATCCCATAGTATCCACAAAATATCACGGGACTTTCCTGTACTGTGCATGAGATGCTTGCACCCGCACACGTACCGTACTGTGCACTTCGACATACTACTGATACCTCTGCAAGGCCGCTGCCGCTGCCAGTGACGCCCCCCCCCCCCCCCCCCGGCCTTGTTCGCTGCAGGGCCCGACACCAGCGCGCTGGTCCGCCGGCTGCACTGTGACGTCACCTACAGTTTCCGCGTGAGCCGGCGGGCGGCGCCGGACGGCGCCTGGGGCGGCTGGAGCCGGCCCGTCACGGGCGACACCGGCCTGCCGCACTACGGTACGGTCCGCCGGACGCGTCCGCGCCCGCGCCCGTGTTTGGGGACGGGGAGGGTTTGGTGACGATAGGGAGTGGGCCCGAGTCAGCGGGGTCGCTCCGCGGATGGGTGCGGTTTATGGTCCGGTCTGGTCGGGGGCGGGGGGAGGGGGATATCGGACTCAGCGCGCTCTTGTGCCGCTCGCGGTCGCCATATGTGGTCCGCTGGTATTTCAGCTCATTCAACGCGTGTGTGTGTGCGTGTTTATCTTGTGAGTGCATCCATGTGACAATGATTGCATCACTGATCGTGCGTTGCATTTACATCGCCGTGTGCCCCATCTGCAAACACGTGTCCCGTTTACCGCGGTGATATCGTTAACTCCTTGCAGAGGTGTCGTGTGCCCAGAGACTGGTCTCTCGCATCCCGAGATGGTCCCTCGTTCCAGAGTGGTTTCCGCTGTGTGGTGTCTGTGGTTCACCAGAGTTGTTCACCAAAGCCGTTCACCAGAGTCGTTCACCAAAGCCGTTGAGCTCGCCCACGCGTCACCACACCGCGGCGCCAGTGTTC